AATGTGCTCGGTCGAGCACATTGATCACTTGCACCGACAGCTATCTGAGATTTCTCTGTCAGGATGTATGAATCCAGATGATTAGTGTAACACCAGTCAACCACTATCCACGTTCAAACATATTGTTAATTCCATACGTTACCAAATTTTCACATTTTACTCAATCAGATCTAATGTTTGAAAGAACATGAAATCACCATTGTCTGATTGTGCTACATTAGGTCATCTTCAAGTTCATCCATCTCTCTACTGGACACCATCTGGATATGTTCGTTGAACTATCGATAAAAATGAGTAAAACCTTAAATGGATGGAATCAGAGATAATCAAAATACCATGTGAATATATCGGAAATTCATAAACATCAACAGTTGAGAAAATCATGATCTGAAACTGAATTTGTGGTGTCTAGTTCTATGTCAAGCCCACAGATGTTAATCTGTTTTCCAGATTGACCAACTCGTTTATTCGTCTTTACTCACATTTTCACCTTGTCAATTATTCGCTTATCCACACTGACCGATCTTATGTGAGCGTATGTTTGAGTATATCGCCCAACCCATTCATCATCATCATCACTAGTCTGCAGTTTACTCTTGTTTAGCCACAGAGAGCGGCTCACTCTTTGAAAAAAGGGACTAACACACTTACTGTGTACAGTCTGCCTCTCCACTTCATTTATCTCATTCTCTTTCTGCACCATTATTCATTCTCATATTTCACTCACTTTTCGCAGTTATTATCTAATGAAAAAGAAGTCGATAATTGTATACGATGTTGGGCGGCATGCTTATCACATTCTATTCATATTTAAATTGCACATTTCATTTCGCCAACTACACTACACTCTACCATTCAATATATCAAATACTCTTCCGTTATGCTCCCACTCAATGTGAACTTGATGAATCCTCTCATTGCATACAATATCAGTTGTGACTGGCATTACATTGAATGAATGTGTTTCACGGGTTTCCGTTTTCAATGTATATTGTCAGTTTGTTCCCAACCGTGTGCATGTGCGTGTGTGTGTTTACGTGATGGAGGGAAACAGAAAGAAATGTAAAGAGAGAGAGAGAGATTACCAGTGGTGTAGTTTGAATGATACTTCCGTTCTCTTCATTCGAACGTCTATCTATCGATCCATGTTTCTATTTAACTATCTATCTATCTATCTATCTATCTATCTATCTATCTATCTAACTATCTATCTATCTGCTTATCTACCATGCTTCTGACAATCTCATTCATGGAATACAAAGAAGGTAACAGATAGGATGAATGGATTTCCGGTTTATTCAATTACTTGTTTCAATCAATTCATATGAAAATTTCAATTTGAACATTTGTGTGATCAGATCACTCAAAGAGACTAAATCTCATCCCTTGTTCATGTATCTTCAAATAATGGATCGGGATTTCGTGATGATGCGAATTTTGATTTCAGTGCTCGAAACAATATCAAAAGTGGAAAGTCACTAGAAATCAAGTAGCAAGATTTTCTTCACAATATATCAACTCAACACTCAACATCGTTTTCGACATTCCACTGATTACTCACAAAATATTCAACAACATAATAAGAATACTGAATGAATATTGTCCTAATTTACACTCATTCCACTGACACGAATGTTGGATGGACGACGATGTGAAAATGGAATGATGGGGATATGTAGCTGAACACGACGATGAATATACAGTATTTTCATGCTGTCAATTTCCGATTATTCAGCTGACCAAGTTTCACAAGTGATTATCTGTTCATCCACCATCTGTCTCATCGATTAATAATGTGTTTTTCAGTCAACAGTTGATGTTTAATTCAGGTCACTAATAGAACCAGATCGATTGTGAAATCGATTCGACTGAACTAACTTACTAACTAACTTACCAACTAACAATCAACATAATTTCCTTAATTCATCTATAATCTATGAAACTGTGTATTCAAACTGTATTGTGCCATCTGAAACAACAACAACAACAAAACACATTCATATTGACCGTGGTGGATAAGCGAGCGCGAATGAACATCTCGTGTGTGTGTAACATCTAATTTGAAACAGCTGTTATTCTTATCAATGTCTATACATAGTTGATAATTATTGAATGTAGAAGAATGAATATATAACAGTGTGAAAATGTGTTTCACATTAACCAATTCACAGTAGGCATTATCATCAATGCTGTGATGGTGGTGATGATGATGATGATAATAATAATAACAGGATATCACGCTTTTAATGTGTGTGTGTCGATATTCAGTTCAATATTCATTGAAGAGGAAGCTGTAACTTGTAGTAAGTCAAATACAACTGGTATTTATACAACATTCGGTCAACAACTGGCAATTCACAGGATTACGTGCAGTTATTCGCACATCCAACATTACGTCATCATCACAACACTGACATCACTGATCAGTCACACAATTCGTATATGAAAACATGAGAGTGATGAACATGCTTCAAAGTTGCATACAAGTGGAACGATTTAGATTTCAACTCGATTTTCATAACAGCAAAATCCTCTAACACAGGAACTACATGTGTCATCATCATTTGATAATATCAGAACAGCAATGAAATTTGATTAATATACTAAACGATCTAGCCCCTCTACTGAACAATGTTGATCAACATGGAAATATTTGTTGTTGGTCGGTTGTGAATTCGTATCACGATGGATTCACTGACAATGAATTAACATCAAAACAGTCATTGCCATCGATTTAAACGAACTCGTTTAGAAGTGATAATTTCCTATGAATATCACCGTCACACAATTCACGAGTTACTTGTATCTCTTAACGATCCACAACAAAATCAACACGATCATTTACAATCTGTTGAATAGATATGATAATTTGTAGTTGACAGATTTCTCATTGGCAATATTTCACCCTCTTGACCAGTACAACAAGACCTGAGAGAAATACTTAGATTTCCATACTACATCAAGGGAAACACACATCAATCTTCAACAAAACACTACACTACATTCTTATCACTGTCCCTATCACCAAACAAAAACACACATTCAGTATTACACAATTCAAAAATAAACAAGGGAAATCATGAATTACACTTTACAGATTCATCACCAATATTCTTCCGGGAAATTTGAATTTACGAAACAAAATATGACTCGACAAATGCAATGACGCTGGGCATAATGTGAGCGAGCGAACGAGCGAGTGATTGAGTGAGTTAGTGAGTGAGTGAGTGAGTTAGTGAGTGAGTGAGTGAGTGAGTGAGTGAGTGAGTGATGAAGCTGAGGAAGGAATTCGGTGTAGAGAGTGACAGAGAGTGGGAGAGATGACAACAAAACAAAACTGACTGATCAGAATTCACATGTTGACAAGATAACCATTTCATCTAAACTGTTGTATGTTGTGTGTGTTCAGATAGAAATTCGTATCTATCCATCGAATCAACATGGGAATGAATCAATAGAATTCTGATTATACAATTTTTTATACAAATGTCAATGTCACATTGACACACTGAAAACAGATGTGTGATACACTGCTAGTGATGTCACCGATCTTGTGGTTGAATCAGCTGAAATATGTCAGCATCTCTATACCAGATCAACAACAGCTGACAACTACCAAGTTGCATTCATTGCATCCACATTGTATTCCACATCAATGAAATCGTTTAATCGAGAATCAATCAGTTCAATACGTATCCTCCATACATCTCACAAACTCACATCAATAATTCCTCTACCATCCTCTAACATTATATCAAACTATAATCCAAGAAAACTTGAAACATCTATTTTGCGTAGTGCAATAATCTCAGCGAATCAGGACACTTCATCACATTTGTGTTACTACGTGCAATCAACATATACTGTCTCATTACAGGTCACAATTTCTAAGAATATATTAACACATCAAATCAAATAGTCTACTTCCTTTTCATAAACGTTGTCTCACATCTTACACACATACGTATTTAGATACTCACTCGCTTATGTCTGTTACACCTCATGGAGGAGCATAGGCCAACCATAGGTATTCGCCAGTCGATTGTGTGTTAGGTTTTCCATTCCGGTTGTTCTCAATTGCTCACCATATTCACTTGCATATGTCAGTTTATATGTTATGGAAGATCTAGGTGTTCTGTGAAGTCCAAAATTCTGTTGTTGATTCCGAGATGTCCATCGTATACAGCACTACACCACAGATATAGTGCTCTTCATAATCTAGTCAATCACAAGATGGAGACGAAAGGACTCGAGTAAGGTAACTTGTCACACACCTGTCCTCACTTCGAGTGCATCTGTCAGATGTGACCAGTTTCATTCAATTGATTATCACATAATGATCAGTAGTGTCACGATGTGGCCTGTGAACAACAGATCACAGAAGAACTCAGGCCGTTGATCTCGAGGTTGGACGTGTGTGTGTGCTGCTTCGATGTCTGATGGATCCAGTGTGGTTGATCCATCCACAAATTCTTCAAAGTGTTCTACATACCTATTCTACTGCTCTTCAATCTCAGTGATTGTCTTGCCTTCTTTGCCCTTCACCCGGCTCTCTGGTTCGCTATATTTCCTTATCAGTTTCTTCATTGTGTCATATAGTTCACTCACGTTTCCTTCTCTTAAAGCTTTCTACGTAGTCATTGACAGGTCATCTACCTATTTTCTCTACTCAGCCCTAATGCTCTTCTTCACTCGCCTGTTGGATTCCATGTATTCGAAATGTGCCTCAACATTTTCTGATCCTGTTCAGCTGTCATGAATTGCTGCCATTTTTGTTCTTCCCTTCTTGAATATTGTCAAGTTTTTCGACACAGAATCATTCTTTCTTCTTAAAACCACATTTTGTCAGTGGAATCCTGTAGTAAATTATCGTGTCTGATGAAATCATTCAACACGATAAACAAGAATCGAGTAAATGAAGTTCACTTGTGAACACAAACGGAGTCCATTAACTGAACATTCGATTTCAACTCAATCAATTATGTACAGTGGTTTGAAACATGTGTTCTGATATCCAAGTTTTAATTACCCGAAATCCAAAACATCTATTCACTCACTTGTATTCTCATTCACCTTTAAACAACCATACTTCTCATATGACACAACTGTCTACTACTCATCAACAAACTCACATTTATCATGTCATCAACAATGTGGAAAATTATTCATGCAATTCTCAATGCATGCAACAACAGAAAGACGAATACGATGATAGAATGATTGTTCCACAGTATCATTTTCATTGTCATATGTGGTGTAATGATGACGATTGTAGTGTTACAGGAAGTCATTCACTTACACATACAACAATATCATCATCATCATCATCATCCGAAGCATCATCCGAAGCATCATCATCATCATCATCATCCGAAGCATCATCATCATCATCATCCGAAGCATCATCATCATCATCCGAAGCATCATCATCATCATCATCCGAAGCATCATCATCATCATCATCATCATCATCATCATCCGAAGCATCATCATCATCATCATCATCATCATCATCATCCGAAGCATCATCATCATCATCATCATCATCATCATCATCCGAAGCATCATCATCATCATCATCATCCGAAGCATCATCATCATCATCATCATCATCATCCGAAGCATCATCATCATCATCATCATCATCATCATCATCATCATCATCCGAAGCATCATCATCATCATCATCATCATCATCATCATCCGAAGCATCATCATCATCATCATCATCATCATCATCCGAAGCATCATCATCATCATCATCATCCGAAGCATCATCATCATCATCATCATCCGAAGCATCATCATCATCATCATCATCATCATCATCATTATCATCATCATTTCCTTTCATCAGTATTGTTATCTGAGATTATGTGTATAGCAATAATATTTATACAACAAGAGAGAATGTCGTCAATTACATTCAATGAATATCCATTCAGTGTTTAATTTATTATGATGATTATGATTATTAATATTTATATAAAACGACCGGAAATAATTATCAATCGGTAATTGTAGAGATGATAATGATATCTTGGTAGAATAGATTTACAATTGATTGATCATTGGTTAGCGATCAATGTCCTGTACCTCAATTCCTTCTCAATGCAGATCGAATCCTATCGACTTGGTTTTAATTTAGGCATTAGTCTAGGTGACTTGACATTGAGTGCACTATATCGGGATGAGTTGGCTGTTGGAGGTGATCAATAGAAATCCCCGAACCTAGATTTCCTGCTATTTTGGCACTCGTCAGAAAGGTGTACGTGTAATCTTGATGGAACTTTTACTCCTTGACGTATTCGATGCCGTGTCACTCAGCTTTACATTCAGAGACGTTAACATTAGGCTATCTGGGCCATATGCATGAAGTTAACTAGTTGAACATTCATATCATTATAAACAAGTAAGTTTAAGTTATAATTATTATACATTACAGTGGATATTACAACATGTCGGTTTCATTGAATGTTATTTACTTGATAATTATTGATTAACTTAGAGTTCTCAAAAGTCTTGCTTACTTACTTACTTACGCCTGTTACTCCTAGTGAGGGAGCATAGGCCACTCAACTCCTAAATGATTTACAATTAAATTCTTAATTAACATCTCTAGTGATAAATTTAACTATATTCTTTTACTAGAGTGTAGGAGAGGACAAACCAACTTCTAATAGAGGAGGAAATCAGGAAAAAATGTTGGAAGTGGATAGGACATACATTACGAAAATCATCAAACTGCATCACGTGGTAAGCCCCAACTTGGAATCCTGAAGGGAAACGGAAAACAAGAAGAACAAAGAACACATTATGTCGGAAATCGGGAGTAGATATTAAATGAACGAATAATAACTGGAAAGAACTGCATACGGTTGGCCAGGACAGGGTTGGATGGGAAGTCCTGATGGGCGGCCTATGCTCCTCAACGAAGGATAACAGATGTAAATAATTAAGTTTCTTCAGAGTGAGATGTAAATCACGTATTTAAGTAACGACGTTTTGAAAGGAAAATCAAATCCCTTTCTCTAATCAACTGTTTTCTAGAATGAAAAATGTATGATTTTTCTATCCCAGTGAATGTAATTGTTATTATTCCTTCATTAAATTGACTTACACGATACATTAATCGAAGAGATAATTGAATTATAATTCGATTTCAATATATCCCATGACCATTCAATATCTGAATGGTGATTTTAATAATTAAATTCGTGAGTCAACCTAAGTTAGACTACCAATGAAAATCTGGAAGAACCGTTTCGTCCTGGCATAGGACTCCTCAGCAGTGTGTATCCATGATCCCACATGAAGGATCTGTACCCAAAACAATTATCAACGTTTTGAAAGTAATAGATTCAATGTATATTAGTATGACAAATCATCTTCAATTCAACCAAGATGATACATTAGTAAATACATACTGGGAGATATTTTCTTAAATACAACAATCATTTAATAAGTTATTGGATTCAAATGTATTTTCTTTAAGAATTAATCGTAAGTAACTAAGCTTACTCAATTAGTTGTAAGTAAGAAAGTCAGTGGCATAAAAAAACGAATCTTTGAATAAGTACCATTCAAACAAATATGCTCTTGATCTTTCTTATCAATGAGAAGATCCCTTCAATTCTAAACGGCAAATCTCATTCACAAATCAATATTAGATTACTTTAAAAAGTGATGTTAGGCTTCATAACGAAAAAATAGTAGTTTAAATAGATGTTGATGTTATAGCTTGTGGCCCTGTGACCATATCAGTATATGAAGTAATGAAACCACCAACTAAAGAACAGTGAATTATCGACCGGACTAATGACGTATAAACCCGTACTAAAAGTCTATGGTCTTTATCGGTATTTCTTCATGTCTAGCTCTGCCTGTAAAGTCCAGAACATAAATCTCAACCTTCACGATATGAATCATGTATTTCGAACATACTCGGTTTATATACAAACCAAACAGACCACATTGTACCATAAATTTAGAAAATACACAGTTGTACAAGATCAAGCCAAAAGTGGCTATGAATATGGGAGACTGTAATCAATAAACTGGGCATAACTCAAAAACGGCAAATCGTATAATAACAGTTCACAGGTTAAAATAAAGCTTATAATAAGAGGAACATGAGTATGCATAGTTTAATTAATAGTTGATACTAAACATAATCACTAAAATGGTTAAGACATAATAATTCATTTAGTAAATGAAGTAATTATCAGTATAGGGGTTGTGGAGATTATTAAGCTTTTGATTTAGATCATGAACCGATTGATGTTAGACCACCTTTGAAAACTTAGAGGCACTGTGCGACCGTTTCGTCCTACTATGGGACTCCTCAGCAGCGTGCACCCACGATTCCGCTCGCGAGATTCAAACCCATAGCCTTCAGCCTCGCGCGTGAATGCTTAACCTATTGGACCACTGAGCCGGCATCCAATGCTGTTAGTGTCTAACATCAACCAATACACGAAATTGAGCAACCATCTTCCATTATACTGTGGTAGATACCTGTCTCTACCCGACACGGATTAGCTCCACTGGTCACGGCTTCTCACTAGAACTCCGAGAATTCTCTCACGAAGCTAGTCACTAGTGAGTACAAGTAATTGTTTACCAACCAACTTAAACAAACCTATCGTTTGTATTTAAATAGACAATTCATTCAATTCTATATATACACATATATAAGTATTTGATAAAAAATCTGATAACTAGATGATTCAATTCAATTGTCTCCATCATATTGTTGTAGATTGTTTTGATAGCTTATCTTCATCCATCCATTGACTGATTGACTGATTGATTCATTCATTTATTATCTAATTTAGTTTATTTAATCTCATGGGTAATCATTGTAATTTATTTCGATCATTTCCATTGAAAGTCCATTTTACTATATTCACTCATTTACAATAAAGGATGACAGACAATTTTTAACACTATCGACATTATTCTTCGTTTACCTACTAATAAGTTGAATGATAAGATCAATCATGACTTCTAAATAAATATTGAACCATATAAAAGTGCAAAAGAAAAAAGAGGAAATACAGGAACATTACCAATCAAGGGAATTCGGGGACCAAGGAAAGATGAAGAGGTTGACCGAATCGTTTCTGCTTAAGTTCATGGATTGACAATACTTTATGTAGAGCACACTAAATCGGCTGCACAAAGCGATCACATTCTAAACGCATCTTAGAACACTATCCAACTTGGCTTTTAAAAAGGAGAATATAAAACAATTACTAGTTCTAAACAGGAAAATCTAATCAACTGTGGACATATCGCTCCAATGGATTTTTTACTTTTAAAGTAATCTACAAAATCAAAGAATTTGGATTGAACTGATGTCGAATCAAGCAACCCACGATGTCAAACCCGAACTTACTTACTTACTTACTTACTTACTTACTTACTTACTTACTTACTTACTTACTTACTTACTTACTTACTTACTTACTTACTTACTTACTTACTTACTTACTTACTTACTTACTTACTTACTTACTTACTTACTTACTTACTTACTTACTTACTTACTTACTTACTTACTTACTTACTTACTTACTTACTTACTTACTTACTTACTTACTTACTTACTTACTTACTTACTTACTTACTTACTTACTTACTTACTTACTTACTTACTTACTTACTTACTTACTTACTTACTTACTTACTTACTTACTTACTTACTTACTTACTTACTTACTTACTTACTTACTTACTTACTTACTTACTTACTTACTTACTTACTTACTTACTTACTTACTTACTTACTTACTTACTTACTTACTTACTTACTTACTTACTTACTTACTTACTTACTTACTTACTTACTTACTTACTTACTTACTTACTTACTTACTTACTTACTTACTTACTTACTTACTTACTTACTTACTTACTTACTTACTTACTTACTTACTTACTTACTTACTTACTTACTTACTTACTTACTTACTTACTTACTTACTTACTTACTTACTTACTTACTTACTTACTTACTTACTTACTTACTTACTTACTTACTTACTTACTTACTTACTTACTTACTTACTTACTTACTTACTTACTTACTTACTTACTTACTTACTTACTTACTTACTTACTTACTTACTTACTTACTTACTTACTTACTTACTTACTTACTTACTTACTTACTTACTTACACCTGTTACTTCTAACGGAGCATAATCTGCCGATCAGCGTTCTTTAACCCACTCTTTTCTAGGCGTTCCTTTCTAGTTTGATCCAATTTTTGTTCATTCTTCGCATGTCTGTCTCCATTTCTCAACGTAATGTGTTCTTTGGTCTTCCTCTTTTCTTTTGGCCTGCTTAGTGTTATAAAAAAGATTAGATTACGATGACTGTAAGGGTTATAACTTTGATCTTTAGTCATCAGTAATAAGTATAGTAGGTTGGTGGACCAGTATTAATCTTGACAGTTTACCTTCTAGTGAAGGTTCAACTTTTCTTTGTAAATGTTCACTGATGGGAATGATACCACTTGTATGAGTAAAGCATTCTAATCATTGGTACCTTAATGATGATGTCTAAAAACTTCATATTTTCGACAAGCAACTATAAGGTAACCATCATATTGTAAAATTCAATGATCCAAATTATGAACATCATTAACTGAACTGTTATATCACCCATTGTCTAATCAATGAGGTTCCATCGATAATAGTAATTACTCATAAGACTTTGATGAGCTTATTCTAATACATTTCGTTTATAGAGGGAGAAATTCAATCTATTTTTTTTTGTATGATATAATAAATCAACATGTAATACTGAATTCCAAGAAGTGTAATCTCTTCGGTTTCAATCTGAGATGGCTTCACAACTTATATGAATAAGTGAAAAGATCTTCTAATTCACAGTCAAGCAATCATATTACACTTTAATAAGAATTTATATTTTCAGTTGAAGGATTGTAGTAACTTATCGTAAGTATATGTGAGCACATTTTGTAGTCACTTTAATGCATCTAAGTTGTATATATATATACCTGGATTGCATTCTTATATCAAGACAATAGGATAGTTGTTTACGTATTTAAACATCAACTCTGGAATGCAGGTAAATGCGGCTGACGAGTCCTAAATAGGACAAAACATGCGTCTTGAATACCACTGCTAGCCACTATTTATCGTTGCATAAAACAAGAAGAGTTTAAAGTATCAATGTTTGTTACTTCAATCTTTTTGATCGTTTACACACAACTTATGTTATAATTATAAGATTGGTCGATATACACAATCCCAATTTCAGATAATTGTTTGATATGAACAAAGAAACGAGAAACCTTGACAAACTGTGGAAGCTATTTTTAGGATTGTTATTTCAGTTAATTCAAAGATTGTGAAACATTAACATTTATTTTTTGTTTCAATAGTAGAAATTATGAGTCAGTTGGAGCTAGATCACCATGGAAAGTCTGGGAGCACAATCCCGACCCCCGCGTGATTCGAATTCACGACCTATCAGTGTCGCGTGCAAGCACTTAACCATTAGACCACTGAGCTGTCCGGCGTCCAACGGTGTTAATGTCTAACTTCAACCAATCCACGAAATTGCACCACCGTACACCATTTTCTTCAGTGAGTTGATATCTCACAACAGACATGGTTGAACTCCACTGGTCACGGCTTGTCACTAGAACTTCAGGAAATGCCTCTTGAAGTCAGTCACTAGTGAACAGATGACGAAACCGCCATCCAGTGCTTCCAGGTTTTCATGATGGTTTGGTTTCAACTGACTCACGATTTCTACTAGTGAAATTACTAAAATCTTCACAAAACCCCTTCTGATATTTGTTTTTGTCCCTAGTCTATTCTTCAGATCGTTTGATGTTGATTCACTGCCATAACCCTTTTGTTCCAAAACTATGGTAATTCAAACGTAATATTTTGTACTCTATTTTCTACTCTAATTCCCAGCTTTGGGCATAATTATATTTTCCTAATTCTATGTGGTGTGTTGTCGCCTGGTTACTCATCTATTTATTCATGAATCTTTTTACACTGATCTGAAATCTGGAACCAGACAGGAATTGAGAATAAATCGAGTAGTGTTTCAGATAACTTGTCTTCTCTCACTCGCGTGCCTGTCAGCCAATCAGATGATAGAATAGTTTTCTTCTCTCTAACCCACGTCGAACTCATGCATACTAGCCACAACGTTAAGCCGGTCAGCGTATCACGTCAAGGTCTGAATCTAAATTAGATAAGTATCCTCAACACCAAAAATGGGTAGACAGATCAAGGGACGTAACAATGTTGATCCGATGATTTCCCTTATTTTGAAAATAATCATTTATCTCATAACTTACACACATCCTTGATAAACATCTTTGATTCTCTTTGCTTACATAATTCATTTATATGATTTGAGATTCTATGAATATGTAGTTCAAATGGATATGGATAAGTCAATAGAAAAGATGATGAGTAGCAGGCCAAAATGTAATCATATCAATT